TATAGTGAATATAATCCTCATAGTGCATGAGGTATTCCTCACCTGACCTATCATAGACTCAATGTCAGACAAGGCACTGCCATTTATCGTTTTGTTGTATACCGGGCTCCTGTATCAATCCATGGGAAACATTACTGCAGCTTCTTATGATATGTGTCGGTTGATGTGAGTACTCGTATGAGATATGCAAGAGTCATGTCATGGTAAGAATGGAGAGGATGACAGGCACACATTGACGTCACTGCTTTGTGTATTTTATGGTTTACATTTCCTAGAATACACAGAGGCTTTCCATCTGTCCATTGTCTATGAACAGCAGCTTCACATCGTCTACTGAACAAAGTGCTAGCTCTTGTGGAGAGGAAGAACAGGTACTCTGTGTAAGTGAGCCCTGCCTTAAATCCCACTTGGTGGGCAGCTGAACTCTGTGCCAGTGTTTTCCAACCTTTATTAACTCACGGCACTATTTGAAAGTGTGCAAAATCTCAAGGCACCCCAGTCTAAAGTGTAATGGATTTTGAGGTTCCCACCCCATGCAAAAACACCAAGAAAATGCGGTCCCCCCTTCACCTTGAAGTCCCCCCTTCAAATCAGGAGCTCCCCATCACATCAGGAGCTCCCCATCACATCAGAGTGCCCCTTCAAATCAGGAGCTCCCCATCACATCAGAGTGCCCCTTTACATCAGGAGCTCGCTACTTTTAAATCTGAGCCCCGCCCCGCCCCTCCCCCCCTCATAATTACATCAGAGTCCTCCCATCACATCAGGAGCCCTCTTCACAACAAAAGCTCCCCCTTCACATCAGGAGGATTTTGAGGCACCTCTGACGAAGCCAGAATGTGCCCCGGGGTGCTGCAGCACCCTGATCAAGAAAGGGTGCTCTAGGCAGATATAAATATTATGTATGCGGAATTCACTAAGCAATGGGTGTTACTTACCATAAGGATAGTTATTTTCAGCCGTGTGACTTTTATTTGCAGCTGAAAATCGCTGTCACTATGACATCATGATGGTTCTAGCTGTGCGAATGAAGCCCAGTACCCAGTATTATTATCTAACACTTGCAGGTCGTCTTTCAGCAAGTGTTTCCTGAGAACAGCTGACAAGACGTTTTCTCCTCCCTGCTCGGAGATCTCTAATTATAGATCAATTCATATGAACTTTTTTATATTAAGCCGTAAAATATAGCAGCTGAGACACTGTTGGTGGTTGTTGGCAGCACTGACAGTTTTCGGTCTGCATTATTGTGGAAAATTGGAGCAAATGTTTAACCTAACATGATGCAGAATACAGGGCTGATGTGTGATATGAGTGATGACCTCCAGCAGCCAATCAGATTTCAGCTTTCTGTAGTTGGCTTGTTGAAAGGTAACGTTTCGTTGCACAGGGTTGTTGTACTTTTATATTTAGCTTTTTGCCTTATTAAGGTGACATGTGTTTATCTCATTCACATGAAACCATTGAGATCATTACCATGGCACTCTTTGCTGGCTTCTGAATTACCAGGGCGCAGTGATAAATGAGACTCGCCCCCCTGTATGTGTCACTTGGCATGGCCAGCTGCTGCGAGAGATCTATTGTCAGATCCATCATTGGTATATGTTTTGTGTTGGTGTGAACTCTTCCATATAAAGAACAGGTGCCAACATCTGCGTATAAGAGATGGATTACTTGGCTTACGCTACATAGGATCCAATGGTGCAAACATTGGCAGTGGCTCTGAGAAGCTTTCCTACAGCAGCTGGCACCATGTGTCAGAATAGAAGACATTGTAAAGCTGTGACAAAGCCCGAGGAATAATACCGCCAGACAGATGACCGGAGAGCTTTGTCATTGTACCAGGAAGGAACAGAACCAGCTCATTCAGGGTGGCAGTGCTAAGAGCTCGAATGATGTGCAGGCTGTAAGCCAGTAACCAATCAGAAATCATCTTTTATGTGACTAAAGCTACATTTGGGTAAGCGCCCCCATAGGCATCTGACTAACTTCACAGTTAAAGTGGAAAATCAGTGCAAAGTAGAGTTTGTTTTTGTCAGAGGAGACGCGCAAAAAATGGCAGCTGCTCACCTCTAGCCGTTGTCATTGTTTGAGTACAATGTATGACGCATGTGCCATGCATTGTACACCCATCTCCCTCCTGGCATCTGTATTGTTCTGGGGATGTCGGGGGACGATGTTACTCCTCTGTTATCAGAGGCAGCCCAAGGAACAAAGAGAATGTTGGGGGACCTGGACATAGCATTGGAGAATACGGTGGCAGTGGGGTGGAGCAGTAGCTGACAGCCAAGATCGGTCAGCACTGGCGGAGGGCACACTCATTAAGGAAGTGTCCCGTAATGTGCAAGTGTGTGTGCCTACCTGCAAATTCTGGCAAGCGTTCACCTTTCACTTTCAGCGTTACTGTTCCCCATTAGACACCTTATCTACCTCGGAGCAGACACCCCAAGATGTCTGGTATTGGCCTGTTAGCCTGTTGTGCCCATTCTGACCTAAATATAACTTTATGTCTAATCCCCGCTAACCGCCATTCCACTGCCCAGTGAGACTGTCTCAGTGGCTAGGAAGAGCGCTGTCTTTGGTTGCTGTTGGGGCATGGCCCTGAAGTTGGGCAAGGTTGGGGTGCAGTATCAAATGAAGATCCTCTTATCTGAGGGCCCAAAAACCAAATGTGCAACAGTAATTAAAAAAATACCCCAAATATCAGAAAAGACAAAATACTTACATTGGACCCCAGCTTCCAGTAGGTGTTGGGGACGTTACTGGGCCTCATCCTAGTACTCCCAGCCCTGTGAGAATGTACAGTGCCGCAGGACTTCCTCTCCTTTTTTCCCCTTTTTCCCCTTTATTCTCTTTAGTATTTTTATTAGGAGGTTGGGGGCTCCCAGATTAACAGACCTTCTATTTTCATTCTCAGAGCACGAGCTGTGTGTGGACCTGTTGGCACTCCGCCAGTCAACAAAAGTCAGATTTTGAATCAAGCCAGTCTGCAAATTCTCACCCGTACAGAGACTGTAGTCAATCATCTGCTGTCCCTGTTCTGAATGAGAAATTGGACAGTGTATGGCCAGCATAAGGACCTTTTAGTTTTGAAGTTCTTAGAATGGAGTACGGGTTGGAATGAAGCACGATGGGGCAGATTTATAAAAACTATGCTGAATCTGAGCAGTCGGTGTGGCAGACATCAGAGGCATGATTGACTAGTAGATCATTCATCCCTCTGCGGCTGGCTGCCCTCCATTCTGAATAATGGCCTCCACTCAGGCCTGGTGTGCTCCCTTTTGAGCAATGGACTGTGTGATAGATTGATGGCTGGACAGGAAGGGCAGCTCCCACCGTTTTGTGGGTGCATCATGCAGGGCCGGGGTTCCATGGAAACGCCATTGTTGGGAAGAATGTTGGCCCATCCCCAGCAGACGATTGCTAATTGCACCATGACAATGCACTGACATTTCTGTGTAATAGGAAGAAGGAGGTTCTCCAACGAGAGGGCAATGTGAGGATCGGGAAGATTTCATACAATGAGCTATGATGAGATGTAAATTGCTCATAATGTAATCAGCTCTGCAGTCTCACACTCACCACGAATGCAGATTTCAAAGGCTGGATGAATGTCTGTAATGGAGAATACGAGACTTTAATGGCCGGAATGTAATCATCTACCTGATACACATTTTCTACATTCCTGGCCTTTGAAATAGTTTCATTTATTCGTGTGTTTTCTAAGCTCGGTACATATGCAAGTCGCCATCCCAGCCCATGTCTTGTTTTAGTACAGATGGTACTGGTACGGTGCTGGTCCTTGAGGTGTACATGGCCTGTAGCTATAGCTGTGCCTCCCACTGAACATTTCTTTCCTACCATGCTTACCCAGCTATGACTGCCGTGCTCCCCTCCAAGAGTGCCAGCCTGTTATTAGGGCCCAGCTCTCTCCAAAAGTGCCTGGAGTGCGGAGTGCGCTTCCTTCCGTATGTTGTTTTATCAGCTCCCATTGTGACAGCAGTCGGGGGAAATGCTCTGGTCCAACGTTTCTCAACATTTTGCAGTTATGGCAAACTTTAAAAATATCGCAAATGTAAAAAATGTGTGGTTTCCCACACCCTCCCATAATCCATACCAGACCCTTATCCCAGATGGGGTCCTGAATAGATTTTAAGGGGGAACCCCCATGCAAAAATACTCAAAAGAAATGGGGTCCCCAGTTTTATATCAGAGACACCCCTTCAAATCAGAAGCCTTCTTTTAGATGAGAAATTACTTTCACAGGCATGACGCTGTGCACAAATTTCAGTGCAAGGAAGCCAGAGGGCACCCTGGTCGAGAAACAGTGCTCAGGAGGGAGCATGCTGATACAAAGCACAGACAGGAGGAAGAGCCTACAACTCAGATTTGAAAAGTTGGCTTTGACTGGAAGTGCAGGAATGAGGGGGAGCATTACAATTTTCAGCTGCTGATCGAAAATAATATACGAGTGTAGTAAAAAGGTAAAAGGCTGTATTCTACCCACCTCCCTCAGCATCGTAGTTCATGGAGCTCACCTTTTAAAGTACTTTAAGCAGGCTTTGGAAGAGTTCCTTCTTTAGTACTTTTACAGTGTTTGGGAACATTGATGGATCTATACTAAAGATTTCTCAATATTTCATTTAATACAATGTAGAAAATAACATTCACGTTATTCTTCATGAGTTGAAGAATACAAAATCAATTCTCCACATAATACAGAGGATTCCAGAACAGCCATCAGACAGGGAGGGCAAACATCACAGTGCACAATTTGGGGAACATTGGGAAATATTAGCTGATGTCTGTTCTTCACTGAATTTTGGTTGTGTGTTTGGTGAAAAGGATCTTCATAGGATGTGATTGTTCCTCCATAAAGGATCATATATGAGTACATCGTAGACGAGGAACAGAAGCATTTTCAGCAATAATTAAAAATATGGATCATTTTATTTTCCTAATAGTAATATTATACTGACCAGCTTTGTCTTTCTGTCTTCCAGGCTGTCCTTCTATTCGGGTCATTCCTCCTTCTCCATGTACTGCATGCTCTTCCTAGCAGTAAGTATATTTTGGAAACATCTCTATTTTGAAGCACTTTCCATGACAAGTTTGTTCCATGTTAAACCTATGATAGCACTTGTTCCCCATGATAATGATATCTACCCCTACTGCTTATATTCTGTCCTCCTTTCTATTGTACCCCATGATAATGATATCTACCCATACTGCTTATATTCTGTCCCCCTTTCTATTGTACCCCCATGATAATATCATCTACTGCTTATGTCTCAAGTCACATAAACTTGGTCAATTAGGGAAACATGTATGCATAGCTTGTAACTGCTCAGCTGACATCCTTTTCTTTCAAGTATGTTTTATTGGGTTTATAAAAGATGTGATAGACTTGTAACATATACAGTGAAGAGATGTCCATACAAAGGGAGAGTTCAGTAGATAAATGGACAATAAAATGACAAAGATACAGGTAAAATAGAACAGGTTAATGAATGTCAGCGGCCAGTATATTGAGAGAACAGCACTCGCTATAATTTATTGTGCGCATGTCATTCGTGGTGGGATTCAAGGTAATGTGGTCACTGTAAAAGAAAAAAAGTATCACCGCCCCAATTCTCATTCAGAGTTCCAGTCCATGAGAGCCACCACGGTGCAGGTAAGAGCTCGCTCACACTCCAACTCCAAGCAGGAAAATTACCGCACAAACACAGGTACCGCCATTCCGTGTCTTTATGTGTAGATCTTCATTCGGGTATCACACAAGAGCCCCCCCAACCCCCCACATACCGCTCTAACATGTTTCACCACACAGGCTTAATCATAGGGAGGGGGGAAGAGGGAAGAGAAAAGTAAAGATAGAGGAAACAGACAAAGGGAGCAGAAGAAAGGGCATAGCGAGGTGGAGGGTATGTGGGGCCAGTGCAACCGGTATCATAATCCATGTGTTTGTTTTGTTTAGAGTGAAAAGGGTATATATGTTGATTGTAGTCTAGCCAGGGCGACCATGTCTGACCATCCTCCTTCCATGGGTGGTCGTAGTGGTTTGCCTATTCACTTTACATCAATCAATGAAGCAGGTTTGAGTGCTCTGCATCACCACCCTGAGGATGATCTTTATCAATGGGTGGTTTCAATGGTCAAGTGATTCCCATGAATAGTACATAACTCTTGTAAGCTTCTGGGTCTCTTCCCATTCTGTATGGTCACACCTCATGGTTAGCAAGTGCGCAGTAATGGATTACCATGGCACTGTAGTGTTAATATTATGGACTTTGTGTTTAATCGATAGAGAACAGTGCTGGTAAATGCAGCTTTACTGGCATGTGGGAGATGTAACCATATACTGCATGTCCCAGGAACATGTCACTTACAATAAATTCACAGCTAATTCCCATCCTGGTGGGGCTGAAACCTCATCATCTCCGTCACATTGCCGCACACTGAGCCGAGGATTTTCCTGCCAGAAATCTGCTCACTGATGCTTTTAAAAGCTTGAGAAAAAATACCAAGAAAATGATCTGGTATTAAAGTGGTTTCATGATGTGGATAACAGGATTTCACTTCTGAAGCTTCGAGTGGTATTATTGTACTGTTTACTATACACTCCATTTTATAATAAACAGAACCTCGAACACCGGCCAAAACTTACAATGGGATTGTATATTTCACTTTTACCAAGAACCATGTAATGCAGAAGCCGACCTGATTGGATAGAATTGGATTCTTTAGATGGCTCCTCACTCTGCAGGTGGTTGTGCTATATATTTACCAGGCGGTCTGTGACGTCAGTACTTGGAGGAATTCTAGTGCAAGTGAAATCACATCTCAGCTATGCGGCATACCTGTTCCATCAGTGGATCAGAACGACAGGCACTGTGTGGGGTGGATGGGGGAACGGTTAAAATGTTACATTAGAGCTCCTTATTGTAGGACTTCACAGCCATTGACTGAACCCGACATGTTCTCTGGAAACGCTTTCCTTGTGCTGGATTTGGGAAGTGATTCTGAGATGTCCCAACTGCTCGGAGGAGCCGATAGGCCCATGTCCAGTAAGGGGAACGTCATGTCTTCAGAAAGATTTTCATTTTTTTTTATTGTATATTGGCGCCAGTGACCAGATTCATGTAAACCTTATCACCAAGTTAAACTCTGGCCTAACATTAGAACAAAATGCTACAGCACCTAATTCTGGCTAATTGTGTATCTGCACTTACTGTTGTCTGTTAGTCTCCAACCAAAAAAAAAAAAAAATCCATTAAGCCTCCCAGCAAAATCCACTGAATGCAGCCAACACACACAATGCACGGTGCAGCAATGCACATGTTACTGCAGTGCAATTTTGGGCATTCATGTGAAAATAAATATGATAGGTCCTCTTTAAAATGCAGTGTAACACTGATATACATGTCACACCTTCATAGAATTGTCTTGTTTTTGTCTCTTACAGCTTTATCTTCAGTCCCGCATGAGAGGAGATTGGGCCAGGCTTCTCCGTCCCACCCTCCAGTTTGGGCTCATTGCTTTAGCCATCTATGTTGGTCTTTCCAGAGTCTCTGACTACAAGCACCACTGGAGTGACGTCCTCGTTGGCCTCATCCAGGGAGCCATTGCGGCTGTTCTTATTGTAAGTGTGTCCACCATTGCTGAGCTACAAAACTGCCGCTAATAAGTTTCTAAGCAAGTCCTACACACAGGGTCCTGACTTTGTAGTAAAACCACAAACTGCTCCAATGGTAATAGATTGTAAGCGGCAAGCGTAAGGCGACAGAACCACCTAAGATCCAGATTTTTTTTTTTTCTACTATGCTGTGAATAGCATGTGTTGTCACGCGCTTAACTGAAAACAAATGAATATACACAGCCCCCTTCCTCCTTATATCAGAAAGTATGCGTGTTGTTTTCTATTTGCAGAAGCATTCAATGATTGCAGAATTTGTGCAGGGCTTTCCAATGATCCGGGAATGCCATATAATGGGAACATCCTGTATAAAGCATTCGTAAAATGAACATTTTTCACAAATGATCATTTATAAACTTGCAAATTTCAGGGGACCAAGAAATAGACCAAAAACCTCCCCTTTAGAAACCTGCACTGAGGGAAATATGGGCTTCCTATTCTAATACAGGTATACTTCCAAAGCAGCAGCTCACTTGAGGCCAGAGGCAGACTGGCAAGCCACCTTTTGTTCATCTCCAATATATGCCACTACAAGTTTCTTTTATCAAGTGAATCCCCTAATCATATTAGGAAAAGTTGTGATCAAAAGGATTCTTCCAATGACCAGGCAAGCTAGTCTGGGAACAATTATTACACCTAGGCTGTAACTGCTCCCAAAGGCCCAGGTTTCACTTTACGGATAACAATCCTCAAATCTCTGGCTGCACTACCAGAGGCATCCACACTTCCCAGCCCCATAACGGTAATTAGGCAGCCATATTATTTTATTACATGTGGATCTAGTTAAGTAATGCTGCAGAGTTTGCAGTTTTTTTTGTTCCCCTGGGTGGCCATGAACAGCTCTGATTTTTTTGGTCCATTGTGAGGATTGGACCACTTTGCCCAGGTGGATGCATGCGCAGAGGGCTGGGATAGCTATTTTGGTATCAGAAGCTCTTTGTGATCAGTTATTCTAACATACTGCCAGTACACACAACAACCTGCATATGAGGTATAAATCATGAAATATGTAAAAGGAACTTCTGGAATACCTTACCTGATAAGGAAAAACTACTTCCTATTTTTACAGTACATGTCGGGTTCTTTTAATATCCTATCTTGTATCACACAGGTTGTGTTCGTGTCAGATTTTTTCAAAGACAAGAAGGACAGCTTAAGTCCCAAAGAGGAGGATTCACACACCACGCTGCATGAGACGTCAACCAATGGGAACCACTATGGAAGCAGCCACCAGCCATGAAGCCACTTCTGCTGCCTGCATTCTGCTTTCACCCCAAACCATTGACTGTCTCCATTACATAGCCTTCAGGACTAAACAACACAGGAAGTTTTAATTTCATGCTGAGCGATTGAATCCACTGGTTGGCAGGCACTTTACCCCAGTCTGAGTGCTGTATATAAGACTACTGCCAGCAAGAGCTTCCATGGCTTCCTAGCATGAGACTAAATCTGCTTGTGTAGGGAAGTCCTTTGCCTTCATTGCTGGAGACGCTGACCCTGCATGGCACTCTAGCACGTAATATGCATCTGTTGCCTATACACTGTGGTAGAAGCCATTCTGTGAGCTAAACAGACATTGGTAAGAATGCAGCCTGGCCAGTCAGAGCCCTCCAATAGCGGAAGAACACGCTGCAGGATTTCAAATGTCAGCTCGGCATACATGGTTCCTTACACTGTGCATAGGAGACTCATGCTATGGACTGCTGCTGCTATACCTGTCAGATGCCCACTTTGTATATAGTTATAAAGATCACCTTTTTATGTATATGTTATAGCTTTAAAATAAAATTGTTTAATGCTTTTTATCAATTATACAGACACACAATACAAAAATGTGATATTCAAATTGTACATTTTTTTTATTAAAATAGTGTGGTAATGGTATGTACAAACATTTATGTCATATGGCTCTGCACAAACATTGCTTGGATCTGCAAACCTGTAACACCAAAACATTAAAAAGGTTTATAACAAAAGTACGTCTTCCACTGGTGCATTTGTCCCAACGGCACATATTCCGCATAGCAGTGGCACCCAGAAGACTCCAAATATGTTAAAAGTTTTGTTGGATCAATTTTGATTCCAAATCCATCTTCACTACAAATACAAGCTGGCAGCAAATACAATATCCCTCTTGATTTTCGTAATACCTGTGAGAGAAAAGCATTTTCATATATATTAGTTCTTGGTCTATATATAGACACACACACACAGTATGTAGAGCATTCATTTTCCAATACCAAATGAATACCCTTGAGTAGGGATGCACCGATACAAGCATCGCTATCGGCCGCGATACCGAGTATTTGCATGAGTACTCGTGCAAATACTCCAAAACATAAAACGAGTACCTGTGCCGCGTCCGCCATCTTCAGGGACCCGGATCCGCCGCACACAGGACCTCCATCGCGTCTTCAATCAAGCAAGATGGCCGCGACCTCCTCTGTCATCTGCTTCATTCTGACCTCTCCCGCTGATTGGCCGATTGGATGATTGATCGGTAATTGGTATCGGTGAGTACTTGGAAAAAAGTATCGGTACTCGTACTCGGCCTTAAAAAAGTGGTATCGGTGCATCCCTACCCTTGAGTTTGAGAGAGGTCAGAGAAGGGCTACAAAATGAAAGGGATTGAAGACCTGAGTTACGAGGACCGCCTTCAACAACTAAACTTATTCACCTTAGAGCAGAGGCGATTATGCGGGGACCTTACTGCAGTCTTCAATGGGGATCACAATATTCGGATCCCAAAACTGTATGGAGAACCCGGGGACACAACAGGAGGTTGGAAGAAAGGGGGTTCAATCTCAGAATTCGAAGGGAGTTTTTGTTTTTACTGTGAGAGTAGTAAAATTGTGGTGGTCTCCGCTGAGAGCATTGATACATTCAAGAAACGTCTTGATGAGTTTCTTATTTCACTTATTTACAGGGATACGGGAAGTGTTCGAGCCAGATAATACACCAATAACTAGGGCTGCAACTAACTATTTCTTTCATAATCGATTAAAACACAGCAGGCAGTGGCTTGGAGCAAAAGCCAGGCTGTTATTGGTTATTTTAAATTGCAATAGCCAATAGCAAGCTGGCTATTGCACCCGCCCAGAATCAGCAGAGGAGGGAACTGAAGTAGAAAGTTCTCCTTCAGGTCCTCCTCTGCCGATTAACCGCAGGCAGTGGGCGGGTGTAATTTAAAATAGCCAATAGCATGCTGGCTATTGTTTCCAGCCGCTGATGGGAGACTTGATGCCGGTGTTCCATCAATCCCTAGGACTAGAGTTCAGGGAATTGATAGAACACCGGCAGAAGAGGGGGGGGGCGGGGCGGGCAGCGGAGGAGGAATGGGGGGGGCAGGGGAGGACTGCAGAGTCACCGCAGTATCTTCTCCCAGCTGGTGCTGGCTGCACACATGCATGCACGCACGCACGCTGAACCATATGGACCCTTGTCTTTATTCAACCTCACTTACTATGTTACTATTGTAATGTCACGGATGCATGCTATCTACACACTTGTGTACATCTATAGGCTAAATATCAGAAGGAAGAGGCTGCAATTCTTCAGCCATTACCCTGCCTACTGGACTAGTGATTACCACCATACTGGTGATCCACCCAAGTTCTCTCCACATGTGTTTAAACCTTTCCATTTTTAGGATATACCGTAATTTAGACCAAGTCTAATGTCATCGCTGGGTCCCTATGCTTCTCTATGCAATTGTAGAATGATAATGGTGGTGGGAGGAGCCAACAGGGTACAGTGATGTCTTCATGAAGCTGTGTAAAGCACCCGTAAGAGCCCGCATACCTGATACAAGCAGTAGGCTAGCACTTGGGATGAGTTATGCAGACATGGAAATGTCCTAACGGGTGGATTTCAGTCTGGAAGAGTGGCCAATCCTAGGCAGCCAGCATTTGCATGCAGACCTATCTAGACACGTGACGTGGAGCCTCCATGATAGAAAGAACTGAAATCCAAGTGTAATTCTTAAAGTGAGTCTCTTTAAATACCTCTGACGATCATCCATCAAAGAACAGAAAAGTTATTCCCACTGGCCACCTAATATTCACATTCAGCTTGGTGTCTGGTGACTCCATGTGAAGATATTATGGTAACAGATGAATTGAGACAACAACCCACGATTCCTCCGGACATACAAAAGGTGTCTTATTAATGAGGCTCCTTCATTATATAGATCAGACCTTGTACAGGAAATGGTGCCAAAGTAGCAGATGCCGGAGACACTGTACTAGAAATGTCAGAAAGCTTTAAAGGAAAACAATATTTCTGTAAAAAGGTGTCAAAGCGATTGGCCGGCATCCTGCGTGCCATGAAGAAAAGGTGGAGCTGCGAGTGCTAATTATACTCTGGAAATGACACTTTAAAGGACGATGTGAGGTCTGAACTACACCCAGCAATTACAATTTCTTTTTACAGACCGAGTTTTATTTGGTTTTGCCTTTGGTGCCAGGAATAGAAAAGGCCATTTTCTCTGTATGTACTTATTTTAGTATCTATAAGTTCAACTACAAAAGAAAACATTCATCTGACAAGTATAAGATCAGAAACAGAAATGGAGAAGTACCTGGAGTAGAATATTACAATACACAGACCACCTCTAAATAGAAATGAATGGGAATAAGGGGCCATCTGGTACAAACTGCAGTGGTGGCTCTCATAGGCTGCACAGCGCGGACCTGGCAGGAGCATGGACATGCAGGTAGAAGTCTCCAAGGGGGAGGACGCAAGGTAAAGGATCACTCTATGAAGGTCCAGTTATCCTACACGGCATGGTCAAACAATTGTTGCAGTGAAGTGCAAAAAACACAGGATGGGGGGGGTGGATTTTATTTTGATATTAAAGTAGAGCTATGTGTTGTCTACTTCCTTCTACAGCACAGCCGGATTAAATGTGGGAAACTTTTTTTTGTTGAATTAATCTGTGACTAGAGTTGTCACCTGGATAAGATTTCACCACTGTGGGCAGTAAAATCGAGACTTGCTGCCAATGTGATCTAGGAACGTTCAGATACCAGTGCCGATACTTGGCATTTTCATGAGAACTACCAGGGTTGCAGCTGGGACCTAGCTCTGGTGCTCCACCACTGTCCCGAAATCATTAGTCTGTATTGTTTTAGAAAAACTGTCACATGACACTAAACAAAAATGTATCAGTACTCGTGTCTGTAAGTACTTGGGCAAGTATCAGTACTTGAGAAAAAAAAAATGGCATCGGTATAATATATATATTTATACATTAAAACAAGGATGCACACATCCCAGGAGCTCTATGTGCTCCTTACAAACGAAAGCTGCCTCCTAACTTAAATTTTTTTCTAGTGTAGTCTTGGAGCTGGAAAAGTATCGGTACATGTGCCGAGTGCAGTACTTGGTATCTGAACATCCTAATTGTGATCTATAAGACAAGCACAAAGCTGCATTTTTCCCAGAAAGATGTCAACCTTAACAGTGATTAGTACAACTGCTGACAGCGCAGGTAAATCCAGTGATGCTGTGGGACTAGAAGACATCAAGGCTCACTTACATCATACACCAGGACTCATGCTGAGAAAGTGGAAATGTGGCCCAAAGCAATGAATCAGAGTTCAGATTTTTGTGATTAGGTTGCCACAGCAGATTTTATGACCCAAGTCCTATTAAGACACAAAACTGTACTGAAAAAAGGGAAATCGAGGAATCTCCAGCTGTTTCCTTTGTAGTCAGAGAGCGGCCACTGTCCGAATACCCGATCATCACCTGTCGGCTCATTGGCCGGCTGGCTCTGTTCGGCTGACAATTTTCCGACATGTTCCTTCGATCAGCTGATTGAGGAATGCCGGCCAAAAAGGTGCCAAAAGCGGAACCCACATAATGAATTCATCAAGGACCGGCTGAAATTGGAAGCGTGTGAACCTTGCTTAGCCTACAGCCACATCACCACTCCCAATACAGATGACAAGATAAAACCAGCAAAGCATGATGAGAGTTTCCGTTCTTAGAAGCGGCAGGTTGTCCATGGATATGGTAAAAGCCAAATGGCCCCACAGACTGCAGTGATGAATACCGATGAATGCCGTGTCCTACAGAGAGCACAGCATGCCTGTGAATGATCGCTCAGTGGGCTCCGTCACTGTTACTCTAGCCCATGTGTGAAGGTCTGGCCTGTGATATGGATCTCGCAGTGTTTGGGCAGAAGCTATGCTTTGTTCTTCCAGTTTGATGAGACCCTAATCTCGGGCCTGCTGCTAAGACAAATAATGGAAAGCATTCAGCGGATGAACGTAAATAGGAAGTGCTGAATCAAACACAATCTCTGCTGTGACACTCTTCCTATTGTAATCTATCCAAACTTTCTAGAGGACGTTTTATCTCACAATAATAACAATGCAAGTCCCACATTTCAGGTGTCTGTCGTGAGTGATTGGATTGTGAATGTTGCAGAGCTGTATATACACATTTTCCCGTATCTGTAAAGATCTACGTTACATATGATGCTGTTAGAGTACACAGAACCAGTCACATGATTATGTAGCTTGTAGTTCATGACGGTGGAAACTTATTAGGGAATAAAATGCTAACAGGACAGCTTTTTAGTGCAGATGAGACATATTATGGGCTTAATTCACAAAGCCAACACAGCATGAGAAGTATAACTCATTTAATAAAAGTGAATTATTTTAAGCCCAATGAGATTTGATTACAGTCACATGGCTAAAGCCTAGTGGTTAGCACTTCTGCCTTGCAGCCATGGGGGTCCGCAATTCAAAATCCCAGTCAGGTCTCTTTCTGCAAGAAGTTTGCATGTTCTCCCTGTGCTTGCGTGGGTTTCCTCCACACTCCAAAGACATGCTGGAAGGTTAATTGTCTCCTGTCTAAAATCGGCCCTGTATGTATGCATGTGAGAGAGGGACCTTAGAGTGTAAGCTCCATGCGGGCAGGGACTGAAGGAGCTCATTGATAGCACCATGCAGGAGGGGAGGCAAGTACCGTTTTCCTTAGTCCTGCTTTAAACATAAAGGTAGATCTGTTATGTTGGAGCATAGGTTGTTAAGTTGGATAATTATTGGTCTTGTTTTTCCCCAACTTCTAAAAAGTTTTTGTGGGACCCTGACAGGGTAATGATTGAAAACACCTTTAATAATACAGTAGTAGTATTGTATGCTACTGTTGCAGCGTTCACCATAAAGTGAATTTGTGGGCTCATTAAATGTGTTAAAAAACCGCCCCAAAAACCACATACAGGTTTCTCCCGGGGTGTACATGTCAGTCCCAAGTGAAAGCCAAATATCAGAGCTCACTGATATGCAAACTCCAGTGGTTGAGGTCTCTGACCAACCACATCCTGTGTCTTACTATTAGCATGTTGGAAGGAGGCAGTAAGAGACAAGCACTGTGTAGGACTGGGTTGGTAAGGGACTTGCATGGTGGGAGGAAGCAGTAAGGGACAAGCACTGTGTAGTACTGGGTTGGTAAGGGACTTGCATGTTGGGAGGAAGCAATAAGAGGCAAGCACTGTGTAGTACTGGGTTGGTACGGCCTTGCATGGTGGGAGGAAGCAGTAAGGGACAAGCACTGTGTAGGACTGGGTTGGTAGAGACTTGCATGGTGGGAGGAAGCAATAAGAGGCAAGCACTGTGTAGTACTGGGTTGGTAAGGGACTTGCATGGTGGGAGGAGGCAGTAAGGGACAAGCACTGTGTAGGACTGGGTTGGTAGGGACTTGCATGGTGGGAGGAGGCAGTAAGAGACAAGCACTGTGTAGTACTGGGTTGGTAGGGACATGCATGGTGGGAGGAGGCAGTAAGAAACAAGCACTGTACTGTGTAGGACTGGGTTGGTAGGGACTTGCATGGTGGGAGGAGTCAGTAAGGGACAAGCACTGTGTAGGACTGGGTTGGTAAGGGACTTGCATGTTGGGAGGAGGCAGTAAGGGACAAGCACTGTGTAGTACTGGGTTGGTAGGGAAATGCATGGTGGGAGGAAGCAGTAAGGGACAAGCACTGTGTAGTACTGGGTTGGGAGGAGGAAGTAAGAGACAAGCACTGTGTAGGACTGGGTTGGTAAGGGACTTGCATGTTGGGAGGAGGCAGTAAGGGACAAGCACTGTGTAGTACTGGGTTGGTAGGGACATGCATGGTAGGAGGAAGCAGTAAGAGACAAGCATTGTGTAGTACTGGGTTGGGAGGAGGCAGTAAGGGACAAGCACTGTGTAGTACTGGGTTGGTAGGGACATGCATGGTAGGAGGAAGCAGTAAGAGACAAGCATTGTGTAGTACTGGGTTGGGAGGAGGCAGTAAGGGACAAGCACTGTGTAGTACTGGGTTGGTAAGGGACATGCATGTTGGGAGGAGGCAGTAAGAGACAAGCACTGTGTAGCCGGGTCAGCACTCTGGGTATTTAGCCATTCGTCCAGGGTGCCACAGACTAATACACTACAGAACTGCTATAGTGACACGCTGACAACGTGGAGGAACACAGAACAGAGCAGGCCTTGAGTATCACACTTCGAAGATAAATCCATGGAAATAATACATTCAGACTCCTTCAGGAAGAGAAATGTGTATTGGTTTTTGTATAGTAGCCAGTAAAGCACTACAACCCCCATCAGTAGATCATAGATACAATGCCCTGGCTCCTGCAGACGCTTCCTAACACAGATGGCAATGGAACATGTAGTTGCATTAAGTACAAGTCGCTCTGCCACAGTGGCTGATGGGACCCGAAGTTCCTTAAATTACGGATCCTGTGAAAGGATCTGCGAATCGATGACACTGCGTTGTGGGTGGAGCCATACACAGCGGCACCAAATTCAAACATGTAAACACTGCAAGGAGAAGAACCCATGATTCAGGTAAGTGGGGGGGGACCATGTTTCATGTTACATCCTAAATACGAGCATAACATGAAACATGTCAGGAAGGTAAACTTCACCTTCAAATGGAATCTCTCTAGAAAAGCTCGCTGACTGTCACTGTGTATCATCCGTCAGTCAGCACATGGACGAGCCCATCGTACTGCCCGGCACCATCACCCACCTTCTGCAAACTTGTTCTCCAGTTCTGTGTTTCCGATGGCTTTGGCTGCCTGACACATCTGCCGCAACAATTCTTCAAGACGCCTCATGCAACGGATAATACTACCTGAAAGAGTTAAATGTGACCTTTTATTTCTGCTGTGCCAATGAAATGACTCGAAAGTCAGCAAAACATATCAAGTCGGAAGATTTCTTTTCACAGGACACACACACACACACACACACACACGTTAATCACAATGTTGTTCTTTCATGTTTCATACAATATCGCTGTACAGAGGAACTGGAAATACGAGCGCACGTAAAGTGGATACATAACGCCGCATAACTGAATGCCGGCATCCAATCAGATTGTTCAGGTATTTTGAGAGCCAGCGGGGCCGACTAGCAAGATACTGAAGCTTGGCCCAGCGGGAGATTTCTCCAGCCACACAGTTTAGCGTAGATGGAGGAATCTGTTGCACTTTTCCCATCTGATCATAGAAAATCTGCAGATAATCTCTAGGTGTATGGCCAACATTAAACAGGATCGTCAAATGAGTGAAGAATTTAGGAGCCAGCAGGCAATTTCGGGCCCAATACACAAAGAACTGAACACAGGGTGTACCTGCCACCCACACAGCACTGCCTGTAAATGGCTGATCAAAGTTTGGAAAATATTATACAGTTTGCGTCTGGCAGACGTCTAAATCATGGAGAGAATGCCACATAACAGTCCTGGAAATGTACAGAAACATTAGACTGATTTCTAGAGCATTGTCCCGTTTTCTAGAGTAGATTAGGAGCAATTGACATTTCCCATAGACTGAGCTGTTTACTTTTACTGTAGAAGTAATCGGTGCAGAAAGACGGCCAGTCCATAGCACCAGACATGCCAGAGAAAAACACTGCCGCTGCCTACTGACAATGGAAGATCAATGACCTCCTCTGGCAGAGGGAGGATCCTTCTATGTACCGGAATAAACACATTACAGGAAAATCAATCATGGAACGCCATCTCCTGATCATGGGAATAGCGGATACATTATGTATGATTCAGGGAGATATCGTAAAACTGCTGAAATCTCTAATCCAATGGTCACTCCTCCATCATTCCCCAGTAACTGCAGAGTAGTGACTAATACCAGGTCATGGCACCCTGAAACATGTCCCCGCAGACACCCCCTCACTACATGCACACAGACCACATAGCTTACACATAGGAGGTTACTGGACACTTTTTTTGCTGGGTTTTAACTTGCTCAGTTTTCAGATGCTGGGAAAAAAGGAGCCTAACACGTCACTTTGTATTTGTTTCACACGGCAATTTCAAGCACCTCGATTGTGAAAAATAAAAGATCAAGACAATGCAACATGAACCGATTTGGATGTTTTAGTGGTTTAGATGGAAGCTGTTGGTGGAGAGCTTCACAGATACTGCAATCCAAACCTGCTTTAAAATACCATGTGTATAGGCAGCATTAGGACAATAGGAACTCCCTAAAAGACGATAGAGAGACATGCTGCCATTACTGAGCTCATTATGAAACATGCTACTTGCCTGGCTGTTTCTAGCCTCGCTATTTTGCTGTGACCCGAGTTGCTGTATACTTAGTACAGACAAGTGATTCAGATCAAGAACTCCTGATATTAAGAATTTTTCCTCCTCATCAGTGACAAAGTATTGAAGTGACAGGATCAGAGTGACAGCCAAGCAATTTGAGCCAGAAATAGGTCAGCAATGGCAGCCGTCATATTCCTCAGCAGAGGATTCCTTTACACCATGATTGCGTTTTACCAAAAATATCTAGACTGGTGACTTTGGGAAATTATTACAGAGCTTCGTATTACCACTTGGGGTCCATATCCTAATTATTATAGTAATATATATTTCTTTCCATATAGAGGATGGAGGGCGGGTTTGAGTTTTAAGGGGACTTTGTTAGGAAGATGTTTTAACAATGTGCTTGGGTAATAAAGATCTAAATAAGGACACAGCTCTAGGATTATTTAGATTAGACAATATATGAAGCAAGAGGAATATTTATACTCCATTGCAGTCTCCTGGACAGGGTTTTTTTTTTGATACGAGAGCCGAATGACATTTCAGAATGAACAGATCTGGGTTCACACAGACTATAAACAGGACCCACTGAGGTCACATGAGCAGTAATAGTGCCTCTTACCTTCAAACACATCCGTCATTTTACAGATCTGGGCAAATGTTGCGCCATTGGCCCAAGTGTAGATGACATCCATGAGGTTGGGGCGGAATGACCCTAAATATGTTTCTTCATCCACTTCTAGTTTAGCTTCGGCCGACACTTTGGCAATCCTCCGGGCCGTTTCCTGTATATCAATCAACAGAAGTCAAATGTTTTACCAGTTCTGTAAACTCGTGTCAGCACTGCTTTATACTTAGAAAAACACCAGCAGGAATATCTCATCTTAAAGATACACAATGGCCATATAAATATCCCTTATAGAGAACTCCACAGAGCAGAGTTGGTAGAACATGGAAATTAATTCTTCAACTTACTCCTAATACATTATACACATCATGATATTACCTGCATTTGCCGAAGTGGTCCTGCCAGTTGTTCTGTTAGTTTGGGCATTTCGCTGGACTAAACAAAATAAAGGAATAAACACACATGAGATTATTATACGGCATCAACAAATACATTCAGTGATCTCAGTGATGCCAGGCAGTAGAAGATTAGTCCGGACATGCCACTGTAAAGCCCAGGCCCAACGAGAATTAGAAAAGACAAGGCCACCAATCTATATACATTACAAGTATTCAAGCAAACAATGTAAATCCGTACCCGCTTTTTATTCCGGAGATATGAAAAATAGGTCATTCTAGACCAATAGTGAAATCCTGCAAAATGTGACCCAAGTGGGAGTTGCTGAATTCAGTATAAATCAGTCCCAGCGTTGTGCTGAGCATGATACAACCAGCATCCCAGGACAGTTGGGCTAAGGACACCACAGGGGATGAGATACTTCAGGCAGACAAGAATATAATTTGGACTTGGGGCCGGTTAACACCTATGCGTTAATTGCATGGTACTGTGAGATTAATGCATGCTATTGCACGATGCACCGACCATGCGTTACAGTGCGCCAGATGCTTTCCCATTCATATGAATGGTACTGTAGCGCACCTCCTGTCCACAATGCGCTGCAACCACAACACAATGCATTGTGCAGTAAACAAGTAGCGCATGCACTATTTTGTTCCACTCCACAGTGTTGAAATACTGTGTATTAAGCTCAGTGCGGCTGGGAGGTGAGTTGGGGTGCCATTCCCACCCAATATATTGGGGCTGTGCTGCCCGTTGTTCCAGCTCGGCCGCAACACAAGACAAGGCGATTTGCCATGTAACAGGTGGGTACAGTTCACACCACTGAAATGTCAGTAACAGTGCGATGAGTCACGATCAACACAGTGCCGGGCACACGCACACCAGCAGCTGCTGGTGTGAATGGGTCCTCAAATGAATGGCAACGAAACGCACCTGCCACACTAATGCACGATAGGTGTGTTGATCGTAGGGTACTGCGCAAATAACGCAACACATAAGTGTGAACGAGTCCTTAAACCGTTTTCAGGATTGTGAGAGATAGTGAGCCAAGCACAGAAAACGTGGGGTGAGGATTTGGCAAAAGTTTTCAGTTAAGTTGACTAGTTAAACCCTTTTCCTATTCCACCTGTAGCCAGCTAAGATTTTGTATCACACTCCGGATAAAACAAGTGCTTTTCCTTGCAACTATGGCTTCAGCATTCCGTTTGCTTTCCCCTGCTCACTGCCTCTCAGAAACTCACGAAGAGCCATAGAGAAAAAGCACACAAACAATCCTTACTTCTTATTCCGACAGCTTCAATGATCATCTCCAAGCTCACATGAATGTTGGAGGTGCCATGTTTCTCATTAAGACTTATGTGATGAGAAATGCAAACCCTTCCACTCACTGCACATTTTCAAAGATTTCAGCAAGAATAGAATCTTAATATTGGCAGGACAGAATCAGCAATAATAATATCCCTGCAAAGGCTCAAGTTCCATCTGGAAAAAGCTGCTTTTACCCCTGGACACAATTTAAACTACATGGCTGCCATCCTGCTGATTGCATTTCCTATAAAGCAGTGTGTGCTGGACCAGGCATCCCTCTTCACCCATATACATCTAAGGACAAGCAACTTCCTCTGGAGGAACAGCTGTATAAACAGAGGACTTAATGAGCAAGTGCCCCCAGAATCCAGCTGTGCTTTGTGCGACATGTGCTCACCACACGATGAAATGTTTGTTTTCTGCACAGTCACCCATCTCTCAGAGAGTTCAAACAGCTACCAGAAGCCCCCAGCTTACAGAACTCATTTGCTCAGAAAAAAAGTAATTACTTCTAAAGTGTCAGCACTCCCCCAGACATCCCAAATCATGTTCGCCTTTCCTCTACTGAACACATAATTAGCCATTTCCAGAGCTGCCTTTCCCAAGGAAGGCCAGCAGCTCCCGTACAAAATTCCACAATACATCTTAATTGGACTAATATGAAGCAACTGGAAATTACGCTTGTAGTAATCTCAGGCTACAAGATGCTTATTATTAGGAAAGCTCATTCTGAAATAGACAAGCCTGGGAAGGAGTTGGGTCTTTGGGGCCCATGTACATTCTCACATTGCAGTAATGTGTAGTAAAAAAAGGACACATTTTTCTGCATTGCACAGTAATGTGTGAATCGCTTTGACATTCATTTTGAATAATACTCCAATGCACTATTACAGCATGGGCTATGCACCCGCTATGCTGTACATTGCAAAAAAATTTAAATAAATTGTGCGTTAAGATGCGTTCGTCAATTTCAAAGGAACGGTTTGCCTTAAACCACAATGCGTTCCTGCTCTGCACTGCAAGGGTGAAGTGTTTAAGTCTAGGGGTAGCTGTAATACTTACCTTATTTCTTACTGGCAGGCTTCCTCCATGTTGTGCAACTGGTCTTTCAAAGCCTCTTCTCTAAGGCAATCTGGTCAGCGGCTGCACTGTGACATCATAACATACAAACGCAGGACCAACTGTCCTGCATTATACGCAAGTATGGTGAGGACCTGCCATAACCCAGTGTGTTGGAGCGAAGAGCGCTCTCACACTTGGCGTCCTGCCGCTGTGAGTAGCTTCACAGCTAAAGACACTGAGAAGGGGAGAGCACAGTCACCCTTCTCATCTCTATTGATGGTTCAATTCATGGTTCTTGCACCTGCATCCAGCTCACACTCTACAGAATTGCAATGCACATTATGCCTGCAGTGTGCAGGAAACCCTTTCTCTACCCTGAACAACCCTCTCTGTAGATCCTGAAATAATCGCTGAATTTGTGCCGACTTCTTCTGGAGGGTGGCCACTGCTGTCCCCCATGGTCCCTGTTTGTGTGTTGTAAAGTACAAAAATCGATAAATGGTCACTTGCACTCCAACTTGATGCAAAGCCAATACCTTTCATTGACTGGGATAGTGTCACATTTATAGCTATCCAAGTCAATAAAAAGTATTGGCTTTGCATCAAGTTGGAGTGCGAGTGACCATTTATCAATTTTGTACTATTGGCGGAGGCATCTACGGTCGCATCGGCACCCACCTGAGTTTTGGGTTTGTTTCCGGTCAGGAGTGCGGTGGGATATACCTTGGACTTGTGTTGTAAAGTAGCCACCACTCCAAGCTCACTCCTGTGATGGACTACAATCTCGGAACAAATTAGTAAACTAAACGCGAGATTGTAATCCATCCCGAGAGCGATCTTGGAGCAAAAAAGTAGCCACCCTCCAGAAGGAAGGGCAGTGTCAGCACCAATTCAGAGATGATTTGAGGATCTACAGCCGAGTGATACACAAATAAGATACATTTCTGTTATTAGTTACGGTACTTGAATGCATTTTTAGGATTTAACTCCCGAGTTTAGTGTCACTTTATTTAAACACTGCTCTATTAGCCTCGTCTCTCTCTACTCCTCATTTCAGCATTCTGTAGTAGTTAGTTGCCTCAGAGCGGAGGACACTGAGAACGGAGATAACACAGTGGGCAATCAGATAGCACAAGAATTGCAGTGTTCTCTTTGCTAATTTTTGCTTAATTACCTTTTGTACACAATGTCATGCCTACTGCATTCTTTCCGTTTTAAGTATCCTCAGCTCTGCAGCAACTAACGGCTACTGGATGCTAAGCTAAGGAGTAGAGAGGTGCTGGACTATCAGCAGTGTTTACACGGAAGAGAGTGTTGTTCTGCATTTAGACCATGGAAATCAATGTATTGCACCTGCCCTAGGGATGAACAGATTAACCTGTGCTCCCATCCTTCCCAGCTCTGAGGCAACTGACAGCTGGGACACTGAGCTGTGCAGAGCAGTACAGGGAGACTAGACTGCTGGAGGTGGACGGTTCCGAGCAGGATGAGCCGAGGCTAGCCCGCCTCTTCCAATACAACACTCTCCTTACCTTGGGAAACAATGAGTGGGTATTGATGTGACTGATCTCTTCGCTCATACAGAACTGGCAGGGGTGACTGGTCATGCACTCAGGAAGTTACCTCTCTAAGGCTGGAAATGCTGCTTTTCTTTTGGGATTGCCAAAAGATATGGTAAGCAGCATAGGAAAGCATCAAGAATTTTAGCAAGGTGAAATAAGAGCGGCATTTAAAAATAAATCTGTTTGTGCCTGGAGTTCAGCTTTTAAATGGAACTTTCAGAAACGAGCCAGCAGTGGCGGCTCCCACATTTCTGTCCTGAAGGGTTCCCTTTCATTCATACTGTGCATGAAGCGTAGCTTAAAGATGAACCAATGTGTCTGTAGAATACATTAAGCCTTGTGAGAAAACCATTAAAAGTGGAATTTCCTGTGTGCACTTCTTTTAAACAGTAAACATGACTTTAGGTATCATCAACCTTCCTAAAACTCAGAGTGACAGGGTTCAACAAGGAGTAAGCTCTGTTCATCAATACCGAAGATCCCTGTCGGGGAAAGAGCACTTACATTTTCCTGGAACACAAAGCAGCTGAGCAATGCAGTAGCTTGTTCCGCCGTCAAGTCATTAAAGAGGCCATTAAACATCATCTCGGTGAGGAGGAGCTCATCAGCACTGCAAAGACAATGAAAACCGTTATAGTCTAATACGGCCATTATGAACCTTTTTCACCCTAGGGGAACACTTGAAATAGTCTTTAGGACTTGGAAACCCTCTGCTAAAACCAATTCAATGGGAGTGGAAAAATGCCTCTTACATTGGTGATGTGAGAAGAATGGGCCCCTTACAGTGGTGGTCGATATTTCACCCTTTCAGACAGCTAAAAAGATCATTGGTGTCATGCCACTGGCTCTACTGAATAGCACTAGCTCTGGAAATGTGCAGGCACCATCAAATGAAAAGACAATCAGCTACAGGTCAAAGAACATCTAGCAACCTCTAAAGAAACCCTACGGTTCCACATATCGCTGGTTGAGAACGGCTAGTCTTATAGATTCAATAAAAAATAGTCCACACCCCACACACAGTCTGGATTGGTTATGAACTTTATAGATTACGATAAAGGAAAACTCCTTTATCACAGAGATAAAACATAAGCTGCCATTGCTTAGGCCATCTTTTGGAAATTATGGCTGTTATGATGATCCCCTGGCTTCATGACCCACAGACACAGAACAATTAGGTAGATAAAGGGCTCTGACTTCACACTTGCTCATCTCTTTCAGGTCAGTGATTCAAAGTTCTTCAGCCAGAGGCAGACCAAGAAAAAGCATTGTGGCTGGCAATGGCAGTCCCCATATGGAATAACGAAGCCTCCCCTATTTTTAAATATGGCTCCTGAGAAGTGGTTAGGTTGTAGAGACCTTGGTGCCACTTGTAAAAAGCCAAGGGACAGCTGAGCTTGAGTGGCACCTAAATCTCTCCAATCAGAACTTGATCTCAGGTTAAAAAAAAGAAAAATGAAGACATCTGAGTGCTGTGAGGGATTAGCAAAGTGCATTGGTTAGACTGGTCCTCACACTACACATCTGTTTGTAAATATTACATAGATGGCAAAGCAGGAATTAAATCTGCCCACCTAGTGGCATTTGCACCTTTGCTCTTTTAGAACATCTGGAGAGCCACTATGCAAATGTGTATTTCAGGCTGGACTCTAAAGAAGAGTTTCTGCAACAGAAGAACCTAAATACTTGTCCTTGCTGGTGGGTGGTAATTCCAAACGCCATTGTCTAGAAGTGATAAAGAATCCAGCAGAACCTTTACAGCTGTCAGATGCCTGGTCCCCCACTGCAGTCAATAGTTCCCGCCACTTGCTGTGTAATAACCTAGGGACCGGCAGGCGCAGTTACAGTGTACAGGGAAAGCAAGCATTCACCTCACTACTGGACCTTAAAAGTGATGGGTATCCTCACTGACCTATAATACTGAGGTATGGGAAGTGGGCTAAATCATAATATTCATATAAACAGAGTGCCCTGGGTTTCAAAGTATGTTAAGGGACTATTTGGTGGCAGGTCACAAAGTTGGAGAAGATTCCCAAAGTATAAATAGGGTTAAGATGGAACACTTTTGCTTACCTGCTGATCTCACATGCAACTCGCCCTTTCATTTCTATGACATCAGAGGAGTTGGCAAAACCCATACGCCTGAGCACTCGCTTACGACATTTCAGCTCATCCATCTGTAACACGGTGCGAGCCTTCTTTAACTCCCGCTTCGCGCCTCTGATATCTACTGCAATCTGCAGACAAAAACACTTGCTTATACATTGCATACTTCAGGAATACTAGGCAGGCTGAGTGTGCCAGGTAAAGACATATATACACTAGGAAATGTATGATCTGTTCCATAATATTCTATTTCTAGCTAAGCCCCTATATTCCATTATCTAAATGTACCAGGTCTGCTGGGGGTTTCCAGTTTTTTTCCATCCTTCTCCTACTGACTGATGCGTTTTTTAACCAAAACTGTGATGTAAGGGCTCTTACCTAAAACTATCCATTCAGTTTTTTGTTTTTTTAACCTAATGGCGAGTAAACAATCTGATTGTGATGTGTGAAGATAAAGAGCGAGCTAGAGTGAATGCCAATTCTTTTAAAGACCAAAAGCATTCTAAGTTTACACAAAAACTCTTGAATCAGTGTAAACACATTACTTTCACACAGCGTAAACAGTGCAATCCATCTTCTGAGCTCTACAGGTTACTGGCTGGACCTGCTGAGCCTTGTAGTTTCCTGGCACATGTAGGTGCATTGGCTGCCCATAGCTAGTATGTGGGATGGACCAGTGTTCATCAAAGTACAATACAGGTATATAAGAATTGCCTAGCTCTCAGACTAGCTGAATCCATTCTATAGGGAACTCCCTTTATGGAAGCTCCCTTTGTGTTGTGCAACAATGACAGCCACCAGCTGTTACAGAGGAGAATATATTTCTCTCTATATGTGGGATATTTAAAAAAGTTAATGTTATATATGAAAACATGCATTATAGAACACTGATAATGTATGGTCAAATATATTAAAATATCACATCCATAATATAAGCCTACTTTGCGTGATAAAAATACAATACTACCCTACGAAGAAGGGCACTGTAGTAACTCTGTCAACGTTACAGTCCCTCTCCAATATGAAATCAAGGGCAAACGGCTGTACACTAACCTCTGCATTGAGGTCTCTCAGCCACAAGGGGACCACTAATACAGTCCACATTCAATAAGTATGCAGGGCTCTCAAAAATGGCCAGCAAAACCTTTATTATTTTAGTCTATTTTATAGATTGCTATAGCTTCATCTAGCAACCATTTGCATGGAGAGATGGTGGCAGAGATGGTGAGGTGTCCTTCTTACTGACCAGTGCTCCATTGTGATACATGTCCAAGTTCAGAAGAAAGGATTTGTTTTCTTTAGCTTTAGATACTCTTACCTGTGCTTTCTTCTCACATAGTTTGTATGCAGTCTCCAGATTAGGGTCATTATTCAGAGGGTGTGAATACATTCGGTGCTCAAATGCTTCTGTTTTCTGAACCACCTTTTTCAACCCAGGATCTTTAATACCCATATCATCAATAGGATCCAGCAAAGGTACTCCATCAGGGAAGCGCTTCTGAACCTCCTGGAAAATATCATGAACTAGTGTTAAATCGAGTGCTTTGAAATGAACAATAGTCTCTTGATGATTTTAGAAAGTCATGTTCCTCTAGATGCAGCACAATATTACATATAATGTCCAGGCAAAGCCTGTGGCTGGTAGAGAATTCGCTCATGACAAAAGAAGCACATGTGCTGCACAGTCAGATGTGGACCTGCACAGCCAAGCAGCAGGAAGCGCGCACACAAGTTCTTGGATCTTGTCATGCTTTGTGCACTTCTTTTAGATCTGTGCAGGAGCTCCCCTGTAATAAAGAACGGTCACTGCTGTTCTCTATCCTTGTGCAGGGTGACTGGTCTTGTATCCACCCCCCTGCTGTAGTTTTCTGAAAGCACCCTCCCACAGCTGTGCTCAGGCTATGTACAGCACAGCGATCATGCCACTGCTACCTTTATAAGGCAACAACTCAATTTGCAAAAGGCATTTGGTGCACACAAAGTGGATTTATAGACATTGTGGCTATTAAGGAATATATTTAAATAGAAGTGTTTGTGCCTGAAGCTGAGCTTTAAGTGTGATTATTTTTTTTCTTAAAAGGTGTCCTCTTAAAATGGACAACTGAATACTTCTAAAAATGAAAAACCTACAGCCCAGAAGCTGTTTATGGCTGCACTTATAATAGTCATATTGAAAAAAAATTAAATAAACTTGCAGAAAATTTATGAAAATGGACATAGTTGTGCTTGGCAGATAATAGGCAAAATCTACAAACACCGAAGCACAAAAACTGCACAATTTATGCAAGCAACTTATGGCTGGTGTGCTCTGGGAGGGAACAGTGCTGATCCCGACCAATCACACCGTTTACTTTTTTTGTTAGAACTTTATTGAAATTTCATGAATGACTTTTTTTTCATTCAAAAAGGGTTTTTTATTACTTTTAAAACAGATAGACAATTGTGTTTGCACATACTTCAAGTGGCTGTTTTCGAGTACAACATGTGGCATATGCATAACAAAGTAATATTATAAAGATAAAATTAGTCTAGAAGTAGTCCAAAGGAACCTTAAGGTCTCAATATCTATAGAATCAACACATTAACATGGACTTCGAGTCAAGGTTACAAAGAGGTAGCCCGAGTTACCTGGTTCTTAGGGAGGGGAACATCGTAGGAGGGATAAAGGGGTAGGTAATGAGGGGAAGGCGAGAAGGGGAGAGAGAGGTGGAAAAGAAAGGGGAAATGAGGGAGAGCAAAGTAGAAGAGTGGAGGAGTGGAGATAGCTGGTCACCAGCTCCGGCCTTAGGACCTCATATTGTCAAGGAATCCGCACTGAAAGAGGGAGGGAGGCACGACTCAATCCATGGCTTCCTCATGAATGACATTTTATAAAAAATTCTACAAGCCACAGCATAGTGCAATGTGGTCGTACTGCGCCACAGCATACGGGACTAAAAAAAGCAAAGTTCTGCATGCAGTGGTGTGAAGTGGGCAGATTAAAAACAGTCTTTGCCTTGGGACTGTGCTACATGTGGTGTGAATGGGCCCTAGAAATGAAAAACATTTGCTACAAGTTATGCACACTTTTTGAGGATACATTCACACCATATGGAGTGCGTACCAGCCCGATTCCGTCCAGAACGCACTGCATTGCGGCCGGTTAACTATTTTGTGGGGCTGGAGGGGGCGTGGCTGGCCAACGAAGTGAATGGCACCGTAACCACGCCCTCCAGCCGAAATGCGATCACCCGCATGGGATCGCAGGGCACATTGTGCCTGCAGACCGGTCCGTTGCGGACTAAAGTTGCACTATTTTGACCGCAGACACAATGTGCCATGCAATCCCGTGCGGGCAATGGGATTACAGCCGGAGGGCGTGGCTACGGTGCCATTCACTTCAATGGCCCGTCACGCCCCCTCCAGCCCCACAAAATAGTGAGCCGGCCGCAACGCGTTCTGGACGAAATGGGGCAGGAACGCACTGCATATGGTGTGGACGTACCCTCAGCGTAAAGAGATTTAAAAAAATTTCACACTTGATGTTCCTCTCAGTAACCTAATCAAGTGCTTGGCCTCGGTTTGTCTAGAGATCTACCCTATATACAGGTCTCAAAAGCCTGCAGCTAAGAGAAGGTGACTAAATCGGTAATTATCTTGTGAATATTTTCAGCCTTATAACAATCAAAATGTTCTCCTCATGCCTCACAGCAATTTTTCTTTTAATAAGTGAATGTAGCTCACAGGCTGCAAATGTTAAAGGACTTCCACAAAAAAGCAAATTTTGATGTTATGATTCTTCCCCCCAGTGCCCCCTCTTGTCCCTAAAAAAGGAAGAGCTTTACAAGAAGGTACAGGAACGAGCGGTGGTTGGGATTCTGAATTAGAAGTGCACTCCACGTTTTAGGAAACCCAGGGTACTCCGGGATAAAACCAAAAACATAAGCTGCATGTCTGTGGATGTCACTTGAGGGTACTGATAGACTGATTACCAGAATAGTCAACTCGGGTACATTAAACAGAAAAACTCTGTAAAAGGAAGAAACAATGCATGCCTCTTTTGCAGTGAAAGTTCCTTTTCTGCCTGCCAGCTCCTCCTCTATTAAATGTAAATTGAGCAGAGCATGTGCAGCTCAGTGTACATTTCTGGCATTCGGCAATGCCAGGATGAATTCACTCCCGTATGCTGGCGAGGAAGTTACGTCATCACAAGCCAGCCAATCATGTCCGATGACGTCAAACCCAAAAGAAGTGGTGTCAAGGGAGCCTGCACCTCGTGAGAGGAGGCAAGCATAGAGTCTAGTTCCACTTTAAATGACACTCTAATTTCCTTTAGTCTAGTCAAGATATCAAGTGTATTGAACTATAATACAGAACCCATAACCGCACTATTCACAGTTTGTAAAGAGAATTGGGGTGGAACTACAGCTTCTTATCCCATGAGTTTATGCTTTGCTACCTACCTCTTTAAGAAACAGAGGGTGGTACATAAACCAGGGAATAAACTGCTCTGTATTTTCACTGGTGAGGATTCAAGTCCATAAAGGGTCTACAAGCAAGCAGCCATTTGCACAAAAAAGGGCTTTATGCTCCAGGTTTGCATTCAAACCCTTCAGGACCTTCAACTTTTAGGAGACTCACCGTGGCTTCAAAACAGTCACCCTAAGCCCACAATGAACTGCACGTCATGGTGATTAGTTTCCATTGATAATATAGGACATCCCTCCATTATAAAATGCAGAAGTCTAAATGTAGAAATTCAGCCCAAAGAAAGTCATAGTAAAGAATGTGCAGTGTCAGGATTTCCATGCCCTCAGCATGCTGGAGCCAGAGAAATCTTATTAGCTCAGTTACACCATCATTACAAGTTTAGAGCCAGTAATTGGTGTGATTGAATAGCAGCCACCATTGCCAACGTGGTCAGTAGGAAACCCGCAAAACATTTAGGAGAGCTTTAAGCGTGCTGCCTCGTTTTCTGTGGAGATGACGGCAGACGGCAATCATTTCAAGGTTAAAATACTAAAATGTAACATGGGCAACTAGAGACTGAGAACTATCTGAAATGACAGTCAGTGATTATCAGACTTGGCCTCTGCTAAATCTTCAGTATTTTACTCCAAGTATAAAATAGTTGTTGGTTTGGCTGATTATGCTTTCTTTCTGCTGCATATGTGGGCAGCCTCTCCATAAACAGCACTCAGAACATTGAAGACGTTTTCTATTGACAGTTGGCATGGTCACAAGTGCCTGATGTACAGCGTAAAGGAAATGTTTCCTGTTAAGAGCTGTTTCCTGCCGTCTGCAGAGAGACCACTGCTGCCACAGAGAGAGCAAGTGTCCTTCTATGCAGCACACTGGCAGAAGGTAGGTTTTACTACTCAGGCTGAAAAATAAACTGTTAAGGTGCCCATACACCTGCCGATTATCGATTATACTGCGATCGTATGATAATCGGCAGGTGTATGGGCTGCGTGCGACCTCTTCTACTGTAAGATCGCACGACTTTAGTCTTCCAAGCATGCTGGAAAACCTGCCGAAAATCGCACAAATTTCAGCGTGCTCGGAAGACTAATGCCGCACGAGCCGGTGTGCGCAAGCGCACACTGCCCGCTCAGCACTGCAATCATTGCGATTGTCGCAAGTACGATCTGCCTGCCTGTCCAAGATGGGCAGATCGTACGAAATTTTAATCACCTTACAACCATTGCACAACGAGAGTTGTGCGATGTTTGTAAGGTGTATGGCCAGCCTAAGACTTTGCACAACTTTGATGATTTAACTGAAAGTTAAATTGGGATTAAAATCTCAAACATTTTCTTAATGTTCATTTATTTAAATATTTGAATGTCTATCACCTAGCCACAGTTGCACTTTAAAGAGAGACCCTGTCAGGTATCTAAACAAATCAAAATGACAGATTCTTGCACCAGAAGAGGTATTATACTCACCTCTACAGTTGCCTATGTCACCTACCTTCCCCCCATTCCAGCCTCCAGCAGTAACTTCAGCATTTGACACTTTCTGGAGCGCTGGATGTCAGTGTTCACCATGGCACACTGTGGTTCCACCTTCCAACCCCTCTGTTACTTCTGCATCCTGTACTGAGATGGGGTCAAATGAAGGAACCACACTGGGTTTCTTCCAGTAAATTGGCTAACGATTTGTTTAGAGAGCTCAGAGGGTCTACAAGTACTAGTCAGGTATATGCCCACATGCAATGAAGCACTAGGCTTGCCTCCACCAATATCTAAAGAATATAGTGAAGGTGAAAATTTACAAGCCACCCAATTTGTGTGGTACAATGCTGGAATCAATGCTGGTATATTATTTGCAATATTTTCCTTAATGTAATGTTCTGCTGTGGCAGGAGGCAGACTGTTTGGCTTCACGATTAATGGAGAAGTTGACTGGAACTGTGACAGGAGGAACCTCTTAGCGAATATCATTAAGAGCTATTAGAAGCCACTGGAGGATTAAATGCATTTATGAAACGGTGAAATGTTAAGTGGACCTAAAGCTGAACTACAGGCAAACAGCCAAATACACAGCTGAAATGACAGAACTATGGTTTTAACTGCCATTGTATTTGTGTATCTAGTCCTGAGATTTACACAAACAGGCTGGTGACCTGAACCTTTTTTTGCTATCTGGAGTTTGACTCTAAAGGAGAACTATGGGGAGAGTAAAATGCACTCATCCCCATAGTTAGAGCCAACGAGTGACACTGCAGCTGTCAGCTCTATTGATCGAAAACTGAGTGATCACAAACCGCTGTTTTCACTGTCAGTCACCACTCCCCACAGGGATTCCCCCCTCCTCCTGCAGGGCTGATTGGAGGGACAGACAGGGGAGGCGGCGGGCACAGCTGGCTTTGGCTCTAGAGAGGCAGAGCAAGCTGTCAATAAGGCAGCTGGGTTGATCCCAACAATACTGTTGGAATGTTTCTTGGCTACAGCATTGCATATATATAGCATGCTTAGTTTTAGGTGACAGGAGGACATTAATAAATGTCCTCCTATGATACAAAAGAGAACTATAGTCAAAAAAGTTTGTTCCTAGTTCTTTTTTTAAATTGCCCATATACTGGAACATCAGCAAGCCCGAATCCAAAAATAAAATATCTGTAAAGGCCGTGACACACTGCAGGCGAAGCAGTGGCGCGCTGCCTTTGCGAGCAGTGTGTCATGTAATTTTCTTCTGGGCACCTCAGCTGGCAAGAGCTCGCGGAGCTGAGCGTGCCGAGATGAACAATTTTAACTTCAGCCAATCGGCTCGCGCGTATAAACCGACGGGATGCGACGTCTGGCCGGTTGTTACAGACGAGCCGATTGGCTGAAGGTGCAGTCAATCATCTGACTGCACGTGAAGCTCCGTGCCGGAGAGCTTTGCTTAGCTCTGCACGGCTTCGCGTGCAGTGTGTCACGGCCTTTAGATACATATGGGTGATACATTTGATACATATGGGTGATACTGGTAGGTGCCAACTGCCCATATTGTTCAGAGGGCATCTTCCATTCTACTGTTCCATAGGGGAAATATCTAAGCGGAAGCCTTCAAATTTAGTGTCCCATACACAAGCTGACAAACAGTAGAGGAAACAAACTCTCAGGTAGACATATATACACAGGTAGATAATCTGAACACGTATGGGCCTTTAACACAACAAATTTTGCTTAAGACTTCCGGAATTTTACATCCTCTTTTTCCATTGGATAAATACACATTTGGAAGCATATGCTTCCAAAATACATCAAATTACCTGGATAGACTTAAGCACACTCTGTCTGTTATCCAGAGGCCGAAGATCCTTTGGAATATATAGGCGAACACTACTGATTGCTGTCAGCAAATGCAGAAGGACTGGAACTACCTGAAGGCAGAGAAGAAAAGGTACCTTCATATCAGCATTTCATGTCAGAACATTACAATTTCAGAAGTTGTACAAGTGGAAATAAACATTTCTGTAGATTATAGAAAAACTGACATATTTTCTGTCCCCTGGTACCATTTTATCCTTTTTTTAAATCAGACCATGATTCCATGCGTATCTGCAAAGCATGAAAGCATATATACCCAAATCTACAATAAACCTCCATTTAAACAAACAGTGCAGGGGGACTGATTCCACGGAAGGGAGTACTACCCCTTTCCTTATAAAGTTCCCAACACCCCCCCCCCGGTAGAGCAAATTTGACACCAGCACATGCTCTCCACAGGGTTGTGTAGATATGAGGAAATCTAACAGTATCTGCAGCTTTTTGCATATTTTACAGGGCCCCTAATGTCTTAAAGCTCAACTCCGGGACTGGCAAATATTGTCTGAACACAAAAGGCATGTGTATTTTACTTAGATTTTGGTGTGCTTTGAGTATTTCTTCCTGATCTGTGCTGTAATCCCATGTGAAACTTTACTTCTGTTCAGGAGCTTCCTGTAACAAACCGCTCTCTACTGCTCTCTCCACTTGTGCAGGGTGACTGGTCTTGTATCTGACCCCATATAGTTTTCCTCCTGTAGTGCATGGAGCCTACTGGGATGCCCATGATGAACGATTAAAATGGTTCATCACGGGCATCATCCTTATGCCGTGGGTGATATGACTGCAACTAGCCCTTGCACACAGTGCAGCTGAATGTAGAAGTGATCAGCCTAATATACCCTTTATTGTTTAACAATTCTTTTTCTAATGTTGTTA